CCCCCCCTCCCCCTCCGCCTCGGCCTCCCCTGTCCCTGCCCTCGCCCTCCTCCCAAGAACCACCAAATTCCGCCTCCTTGATATCCTCCTCATCCCCCTAAACACCATCGACTCCTGAAACCTCCTCCTCACCTCCTCCTCCTCCTCGGCCTCCGCTTCGGGGTTCGGTAACCGAAACCGACAGAGTGGGCAAGAATTATGAATCGACAACCAAGGAACTATACAATCGGAGTGATAAATATGTGAGCATGGGAGTTTTAGGGCTTGGGAGTCGAGCAAGAACTCGTCTTTACAAACGGCGCAGTTGAGGAGGCGATCGCGAGATGGAGAATTTGAGGGGATGGATCGATTGAGCGGATTTAGGGGGGCGGGGGAGGGCGCGGCGGCGGGCGGCGGAGCGGGGGGGAAGTCAGCGGCGGAGATGGAGTTCGTCGCTCGGGCTCGAGGTGGTTGATTAGGAGCTGGAGGTAGGCGGTGGTGTTGGGGCTAGGGTTTGGGTTTGGAGGGAGCTGATCGCCGTCGTAGGGTGAGATCGTGGGTGCGGATGACATGGTGGACTTAAGAGTTAAGACTTTTTTTTTCCTTTTCTTTTTCCCTTCTGAGTAGAGAGAGTGTTCGCGTGAGTTTAACTTTCGCTCTCTTCTCACCGTCTATTTTCTCTCTCTAGATTTAATGGTGGGAGGATTAATAATGAGGTCATCTTTGCTTTCGGTGTGGAGGATTATGGTGACGTGTCATTTTCCTTTGTCAGTCTTATTGCTTTAGATCCAATTAGGGGCTGTTTGGTTGTTTTCCGAAAAAATCGGAAATGGAAATGTCACATTTCATTTGATTTCAACCCATTTTAAGAGTTTTTCCACATTTCTTTTTTTTTGTTTGTTTCGCAAAGAAATCACTCTATTTCACCGCCAAGTCACACAAGAGACAAAAAAAGTCGCGATAGTAACAGTGCATTGGTTTTCTATTTCTTGTGTTTGTTTGAAAAAAGAAAGAAAGAGAAATCAGCCCATTTAAGTAATCTGTTTTATTCAGCTTCACTATTTCAACAGTGTTTTTAGTAATTAAAAATTCATTGAAGTGATATTTTCAAGTGTTTTCAAATGTTTTTTTGTGAAAACGCTTTTCTTAAAAAGTTGACGTGGCATCCTCATTTCTTTAAATTATAAAACGAAACAAACTGAAGAAATGGAAAACCATTGAAACCGAAATCATATGTGGCACATAGGGGATTTCTTAAAAGGTGATGTGGTGGGGGTTTTCTCATTTTTTTGAGCAAACAAACAAACCCTTACTGACAAAGTCAGGAGCTTTGAGTCTGAAGCAGCGGAAGTCACGTGGGCTCTGAAACTGATTATGTATTTTCTAAATTTGTGCACTTCTCAAATCTTTCGAGTGTTTGGTTGGCCATTTTTGCACTTCTCAAATCTTTCACGTGGGCTCTGAAACTGATTATGTATCTAACACCCTCATTTTTCATTTATCCCCTTCGGGCCGTATCGTCATTTTCCCAACGAGCGCATTGCTATTTTGGCTCGTGCGGTGACCGCGAGCCCCCAACTGGCAGTGTGAGGGAACAGGGCGGTGGCCCTCATCAGTGGGCCCACACTACGAGTTGGGGGCTCGCGGTTGGACCGCGAGCCAAATAGCTTTTTCCTTTCCTAACCGAAAACATTTCTCGCGCTGATTAGAGGGTGGAAAATCTAGGGTTTCATCTCTCTCATTCCCGCCCCCTAATCCAGCGAACTTTTGGTCCTTCACGTCTTTTACCGCTTCCATCTCGTTCCCTCTCGTCCTTCGCCCCCAAATCTAAGGTTCTCTGGTCGATTGTTGGAGGTGCGGTCGATTGTGATTTGGGGGTTGTTGATTTTCCCAGTCGAAAACTTGGAGCGTTGTTAATTGTGGGCGAAAAACCTAGCGTTTTCTTTCCTCTTATTCGCACCTCCAAATCCAACGACGAACAACTCTTTTGTCGATTGATTCCTCTTTAGATTTCTCGAGCATCAATATCGGGGGTTATTGGCAATTCATGAAGCGTATTGCTCCGAAGATGCGTCAGTGTCACAGGGATGCATATCGCGAATCGATATTTCAGCACTATATTTTATTTGAGGCTCTTGCGCCTAATCGCCCCACACTTGAACTGCTGCTGAGTTATTATGATAGGGCCAATGACACATTTTCTATCCCTGATTCAAAGACTGAGGGCTTGAAAAGTGTTAAATTTGATTTGCAATGGGTCCATAACCATACATACTTCCCAGCTTATGGGGAAGTCATATGTATCATTAAACACATGCATTAATTACATCAACGCAGTGCATAGTGAATCCGGATTCACTGTAGTGACTCCGGATTCACTGTAGTGACTCCGGATTCACTGTAGTGAATCCGGATTCACTACAGTGATTCCGGATTCACTGCAGTGATTCGAGATACGTTGAGGTACGCAGTGAATCCGGATTCACTGCAGTGAATCCGGATTCACTACGTACCTCAACGTATCTCGAATCACTGCGGTGAATCCGGATTCACTGCAGTGACTCCGGATTCACTGCAGTGACTCCGGATTCATGGCAATGACTCCGGATTCATGGCAGTGACTCCGGATTCACCGTAGTGAATCCGGATTCACCGCAGTGAATCCGGATTCACCGCAGTGAATCCGGATTCACCGCAGTGATTCGAGATACGTTGAGGTACGCAGTGAATCCGGATTCACTGCAGTGAATCCGGATTCACTGCAGTGATTCCGGATTCACTGCAGTGATTCGAGATACGTTGAGGTAGTGAATCTGGATTCACTGCGTTGAGGTAATTAATGCATGTGTATGTTAACTGTTTGACTGAATCCTAGCCATTGGATTCATCTAGATCCAATGGATGAAGGAGGTTTTTAGTTTTTAGATATATAATATTATTTAATCTTATTAATTATTAATACTGAAATTATTTAATTATTTCATATTAGGAGATTTGCAGTAGGATGATAAAGAGGGCTTGGAGGGGTAATTTGGTATTTTGGCGTGAAGAAGCAAAACTCCTCATAAGTAGGAAAAAATAAGTTGTTGAATTTCAACTTATTTTTTCTCTACTTATAAGTTCCAAATAAGTAAAAAATAAAGCTATACCAAACATGGTACTCGTACCTTATAAGTAAAAAGCTACTTATAAGTCAAAATAAGTATGTTGCCAAACATGCGAGCATCATAGGTATATGACAATCCTCCTAAAAATTCTTCCATTAACGAATGTGAACAAATACAATTGTAAAACTATAGTTGTAAAATGGTGTGCAGTTGCAGCTAGTGATTTAACCAGATATAGACATTACAACCTTGTTTTAGTTTGAACGGAATTCAAATTATTGTAGTTTTAAACGTGTGTATGACAATCTTATAAAATTAGGCCATGACTGAACTTGACTCAATTTTAGGTAGTTTCTTATTTGGCAAATGGAAGGCCTGTACGTAGCCCAATTTTGAGTGGTTTTTGCAGCCCAAAATTGGCCACAAAACCATTTTTCTTTTGGAACGCTGGAAGTCGGGTGACAGCGTGGCTGGTCCAAAAGAAAATTGGTTTAGTAAAAATTTTAGTTTTGTGTAGTTTGATAAACATGCCCGTGTATTTGGCAACTTCACAAAACTAGTTTTAGGTGGTACAATGTTGGTTCAATATCTTATTTTTAATTTGGCAAAAGTTGGACCCAAATTAAACTCGTTCTTTTTAGTTTAAAATATAGATCATCTAGCTCTATCAGACCGACCCTTATATGGTTCAACTTTGGTCTAGTTAAGATAAAACTAAGCTAGCCCAATTCTATTTTGAAGTTACCAAACACATCTTAATTGTAATTAGGCCAACAAAAGTCCAATATAACACGATACCTCAAAACAAACACCAACAACTATGACTAAGGGTGGCAAATTATGACCCGACCCATCAACCCGACTCGACCCAATCCACTTATATTGGGTGTGGATCGAGTTATATGGGTCGGGTCATAAATGGGTCAACCCGAACTGACTCGTTTATTAGATGGATAAATTAGGATTGACCTGAACTAACGTGTGTAACCCAATAATTGACCCGTTTAATTCTAAATGTGTTGCGGTCCAGACTCCAGATGAAGAGCGATTCTCACAAAACCTTTACTCTTTCAGAAACCCTACATGAGCTTGATTCTGTGGTGGCTAACGGCATCGAGCGGAGGCAAGCGCTGGCGAGCAGAGGCCAATGACGACGAATCTCTGGTAGAATTTGCGCTTGAAGTGCTCAACGACTTCGGATCTTGACACCGTGTTGGAGGGATGAGGATGTTGGACCAGCAATCCGACCAACGAGGATCACTGTCGTAATCGTACGACACCACCGCCGCCCGCTTGATCCGCTGAGGATCGCCACCGTCATTGCTGTTACCGCCTTCTTCGCGCATTGAGATTGCTTTTTCCCTCTCTAGTTTATCTCTCTGGGGTTTTGGAGGAGACTGGGATAGGGATTTTTTTACAGAATTGCTATTTGGCTCGCGAGTTAACTCGCAGCCCCAACACGCGCCTACGTGGCCAGCTCCACGTCAGAAGGTAAAATTTCATCCCGTGACCTCAATTTTTCCCCCCAACCTCGTTCTCTCTCCTCACATCAGAGTGAGAAAAATCCCCAAATAGCGTTCTCTCCCCCTCCCAACCCTAGCCCCAACCCCGCCGTGAAACCGCCGCCGTCCCCTGACGTGGACGTGACACCGTCGCCGCCCCTGACACCGCCGTCGCACCGCCGCTGTCGACACAGCTCCACTCCTCTTCTCAGCTCTCCATCCCCCCACTTAAAAACAGGTACCTTTCCTCGCTAATCCATCAAAAACCCTCTATTTCGTGCAAATTTCACTTCTTTCCATCTAATTTCGTGGGGATTTCTGTTTGCATCTTGTTTAATTGAAAACCCTCGATTTCTGTTTGGCTTGAGAGAGTGATCTGTTTAATTCGTCCAACAACAGTATACACTGTCTGGGAAGTAGGTATTAAGTTCCTTTTTATTGTTGGAAAATGGCTTCACATGAAGTATATTTATAAAAGGAGAATCTTACTAATTTTCAGTCTTGTCTCACGATTTCTAACATGAGAGTGATCTGTTTAATTCGTGCAAATTATCACATTAGTAGTATATTTATATTGTCAGTATGTTAGTTTTGTAAAGGCAGTAAGCTTTCATTTCTGCATTTGATGGATTTAGTTGAGGAGCTAGCTCAAGATGTTACAGCATATTAGTGATTCAGTTCTTTTTTGGCATAACTAGATGCAACACATCAGAGCTATTAGGAATGGGCTTGACCTGGAAAGGCATGGAAAAAATTATCATCCAAATAACTTTGGAAAAAAATACCCTCAAATCAACAAACCATGAGCTTTGTTAAAAATATTGAGTATGGAATGTTTTTGCTTGAGAGAGTGATGTATGGATTTTTTTGCTTGAGAGAGTGATGTATGGGTTATCTAGTTCCTTTACTGATCAGTATACTTGGTCTAAGTCTTTCTTCTACTGCAGAATCATGTCGTCAACATCTTCTCAACAATCATCCTCTTCTAAACGGGCAAGGTTCTTTGATAGGAGGCTATATGCTGCAATGTGGAATCGTCCACCTCCATACGAGATTCCAAATTGCTTTTGTGGGATTCCAATGCAAATGAAGACTTCTTACACCCCGAGGCATCCGTGTCGTCGATTTGGAATTTGTGCTACAAACACTTGTAATTGTTGGACTTGGTTAGATCATGGCGAAGTACCAAGTTACGCTCACGACTCAATGAATATATTTATTCGCAAGTTTGAAGAGCTTTCAATTGAAAATGAGAAATTGAGATCAAGAATACATAATGAAGAAAATGGAATTTGGAAGAAACATATTAAGGAAAAAGGCTTTCTACTTGGAATTTTTGTTGGTTTTATGATGTCCATTTTTCTTGTAATAATATCCAAGTAAGGGTATTGTTTATGGTTTGGACCTTGTAATATTTTACTAACTCAACTATGTTCTACGAAAATCAGTGTTATATGGAATTGTAATGAAAAAGTAATATAATGTAGTTATAAAATGTATGGATGCTCACCATTGTCTTTGTGTCAAGTTGTAATGTGGAATTGTCTTCTGAAATCTCCATGTGTCAAGTTGTAATGAAGAAAATGGATGCTCACTATGTTCTACGAGCTAGATGCCCAGGATCCCCATTTAAAGCATAGTTTTCTCTTTTGATTTTGAACCACCTTCAGCTTATTGACAATGAGCATGCCTTTCTTGTGCTTCTTCCCCTGTCCTACATCATGCTCTTTCTTGCTGGGATTCATAGATCAATTGAGTTTAAGTTTAGTCCCAGAGCTGAACCTATGTTACAAAATGTATACAGAGCTGAACCTATGTTCAATGAATATATTTGTTGTTGTTATCTTAAGCAAAAATATGTCACCAAATAAAACCACATGATCATCTTTCTTAATTACACAAATTGCATCAGTCCCAGAATTGCATCATTATATACAGAGCTGAAGCAAAACAAATTGCATCAGTCCAGAATATATCTTTCTTAATTACACAAACAAATTGCATCAGTCCAGAATTGCATCAGTCCCTTCATCTTCATTTAATTACACAAACAAAACCACATGATCATCTTTCTTAACAACCGTCACAAGTATGTACTACTCCCTTCATCTTCATTTAATTACACAAACAAAACCACAGTAACAAACATATATTCATTTCGACAAAAAATATAATCACAACTAAAAATATAATCAGTCCTTCAATATCATCCAAAATTCACAACCAAAAAAGCATCAGTCCTTCGAATATCATCCAAAATTCACAACCAAAATATCATCCAGAAGTTTTAATATCATACAGAATCAGTCCTTCGAATATCATCCAAAATTCACAACCAAAATATCATCCAGAAGTTTTAATATCATACAGAAACATCAGTCCTTCGAATTCAATAACACCCAGAATTAAATATCATACAGAAGTTTTAACCAAAAAGCATCAGTTATTAACCAAAAGCGCCCAGAATTCAACATCACGAGCCAAAAGCATCCAGAATTCAATATCATGAGCCAAACATGTCTTCAAGTAGTAATCAGTTGTCGATAAAAGAGGCTTCACAACCAAGTGCATCAGGGCCCTGAATGCAAAAAAAAAAAATATTAATACAACTTGTTACAAGAGCATAATTGATGAACATTTACCCCAATAAGCATAATTGATGAACATTTACCCCAATAAGTAAAGTCAAGCTAGTCATAACAATATGGAACTTCCAATCATATATAACAAGCCAGCGGACACATGAAAGATTAATTAAGCTAGTCATAACAATATGGAACTTCCAATCATATATAACAAGCCAGCGGACACATGAAAGATTAATTCGGAGGGTAGTTTCTTTGATGCAATCCATAAAATTGTGTCAACCCCATCGCATGTAGATCTCCAGGCATTGGAAATTGAGGCTGTAACACATCATATAAACTATGGTGATTAAATCCTATCCGTAACATAGAAAATAAAGATGTTGATATAATACATGAGACTATATCTTACCAACTGCATACTCTCATTTGTTAATTGTTGTGCCGGCCAACACATTCCCCATGGATGCACTGAATTTGGTTGTGGCATGTAAGCATTTGAAACCATGCTATCTTGTGTGTAGGAAAGAACACCCTCTTGAGACTGTGATGGATTGTTGACGGGCACATTAGCATTGAGATCAATTTTCTTCTTTCTTCGCCTACTTGTTGGCTTAATTCTGTTTTGCCTAGGCCGACCTTTCCGAGTCTGAGAGAGAGGATCCAATATGTTTTCATTTTCCTCCTTTTCATGGTCATTTTCTTCTTCCACAAAATCATGATTCATCAGTACTTCTTTTCCTTTTTGACTTGATTCAGCAAGTTGTAGTTCTCTAAATTTGGTGTCTATCCATTTTTTAACAACATCACATTCATGATTGTTTTGAGCAGCAAGATCAGCAACCTCACTAAATGCAAGACATAGCTCGCGATAGCGTAGTTGTTCAGGTGTGACAACCCAAGTATTAAATTTAACTTTCATCTTCGAGTGGGATCGCCTCACATCCTTTCTCCACCTTCTTAGAATGTACTTTTCCGGAAGAAAACTAACTTCGTGACGGATAAGAATGGTAAGAGCATGCCTACATACTATGCCTTTAAACACAAACATCTGACAACTACAATGAACTTCACAATCCTTCTCACGAAAGGATACTGTGAAGAATTTAGGAATCCTTTTGCCGCACTCCAACCGCAAAGTCAAGTCCCGAATGACATACTCAAGCACCCCTGCTCCCTCCTGATAGTTTACAATATCACAATATATCTTTCCCATGAATTCAGCTTGAAACTCTTTAAACTTTGCTAAAGTGTAAACTCCCTGAATTTGACTCTCCATATCATAAGTTGTTGCAGTAGCTTTTACTTTTGAAAATGACTCTGCATCGGCCCGCATCTCCTTTTCCGCCTTGCTTCTTAATGCATTTTCATACTGCTCAACAAACTGTTTTAGACTTGTTTTTGAATTGACATATTCATCAAAAAAAGCATTCATGCTTTCACTTCGCTGAGTAGTTGACATTCCTGCCCAAAAACAATTTTTGACAAAACATGGAACCCATCGTTTTCTCTCCTCGTACAATTCACCTAACCAATCACAATCCTCCAATCCATACATGTCAACCATTTCATTCCACTATTGTTCAAACTCTTGTGGACTTTGTGCATCATACACCACTCCTTTCATGGTAGAACTGATGGCCTCATATTCAGTGTACCTTCCTAACTTTTCTGACAGCTTCTTCATTATATGCCACAAACACCATCTGTGTCTAGTGTTTGGAAAAACAATCTCAATTGCATTTTTCATGGCTCTTGCTTGGTCATTTATTATCCCTTGCGGAGCACATCCATCCATGCATTCAACCCACTTTGTAAATAGCCATATGAAAGTCTTTGTGTCTTCTTTTGAAATCAACCCACATCCAAGTAAAATTGATTGCCCATGATGGTTAACGCCAACAAATGGTGCAAATGGCATATCATACTTATTAGTTAAGTATGTGGTATCAAAAGTGACGACCTCACCAAACTCTTTATAAGCTTCTCTGCTCCTACCATCGGCCCAAAATACATTTTTCAAATGGTCTTCATCATCCAATTCAATATCAAAATAGAAACCTGAATTTTCTGCAACCATCCTTGAAAAATATTTCATAATCGCTGAAGCATCACCTTCGCCGAGACGTAAACGCCTTGATTCATCAACCAAGTTCCTGCAAGCCTTTTCATCACACAACAGATTCTCATATCCACCAGCCTCATGTACCAGTGAACTAAAATTTTTGTTGATTCTGATTCCGGCTTGATCATTCAGATTAATTTGATGCCTAACATGTGCACTAATTCTTCGGTTGCATCGAAAGAAACGACTTTTACTAGGGCTAAGGCCATGATTATGCTCCAGAACAACCACCGATATTTCCCATCTTCCGTCCAGATTCAACCTAGCTGTTATCTTTGCATTACACCCAACTCTGTAGCTTGCTTGTGGTTTTAAGGGATTTTGACAAGTACTATTATGTTTGCCAGCTCGACCACATACTAAAGTCATACTTCTAACAATGCCCATTTCATTCTTCCTTCTTGTATGTTTCTTAATTGGAAATCCACTGTTCTTTGCATAGTCTTTGTAAAACTCAAACAATTCATCTGGATCATTGAACTCCATCCCAATTTTAGGCTCATTTTGCTCAATCTGCTGATCAGTGTGCTGAGGCAACTCAGATCTCTCATCAACCGGGCAATTATTCAAGGCATCATCAACTACATCATCAAACTCCTCAATATCTGTCATGCCTGTTCAAATTGATCATCAATAAACTTTACAGAAAATAGTTGACAGAAACTGAACAAAGAAACTGAGCAAATAATTGACTGAAACTGACAATTGCAGTTGTTTTCGTTTCTTTTAGTTACTGAACACTTGCAAATAATTGACTGAAACCGGGCAAATATTAACGTATTCTGTATAAGGTTAATGAACACTTGCAGTTGTTTTCGTTTCTTTTAGTTACTTCATCTTTAGAGTAAACAAAAATTTGTGACCAACTAAATAATAACTACATTATGATTTCAACTAAATCCCCACCTTGAAATTAAACACATCACTCTCTCAAGACCCACAAATTTTTAATTAACCAGTAAAATCCACAAGACCCATGAAATCGAATTAAACACATCACTCTATCAAGCCAAAATAGTTTGTAAGTAGGTTTCAATTAAACAAGATTCAAACAGATTCAACCACATTAGATGGAAAGAAGTGAAATTTGCACGAAATAGAGGGTTTTTGATGGATTAGCGAGGAAAGGTACCTGTTTTTAAGTGGGGGGATGGAGAGCTGAGAAGAGGAGTGGAGCTGTGTCGACAGCGGCGGTGCGACGGCGGTGTCAGGGGCGGCGACGGTGTCACGTCCACGTCAGGGGACGGCGGCGGTTTCACGGCGGGGTTGGGGCTAGGGTTGGGAGGGGGAGAGAACGCTATTTGGGGATTTTTCTCACTCTGATGTGAGGAGAGAGAACGAGGTTGGGGGGAAAAATTGAGGTCACGGGATGAAATTTTACCTTCTGACGTGGAGCTGGCCACGTAGGCGCGTGTTGGGGCTGCGAGTTAACTCGCGAGCCAAATAGCAATTCTGATTTTTTTATGCGAATCGAAGAAATGTATCGGCTTCGATTTGCGTGCTCTCGCTAGAGCAGATGACGGTAACCGCGCATTTAGTTACTATCGAGTTGGGAGAAACAAAAAAAGAGGTCCTTGTAGTTACCAAAATCATTAAATAATAAAATTAATTTTGATAAGTCCTTTTTTAGAATTAAATGAGGTCCTTATAGTCTTATTTTTCTTCTTTTCTATATTTAACTTTGAAGTCTTTTTTTTATTTAATTATCATTATTATTTATCTTTATGACAATGTAAAACTAGAAGTATTTAATCTTAGGACTTGAGTTTGAATCTGGTGTCTACCAAAATAGTTGGATAGGTTTGCTCTCTACTCAATAGTTTAAGATTCAAATACTCTTGCCGACATTGAAGTGAACTTTGATAAACGGGTCATTTGGGTTATATGGGTCGGGTCGGGTAACCCGTTTAATAAACGGGTCAGCTCACATTGACCCATTTATTAAACGGGTCGTGTCGGGTCACACTTATACAGGTCGGGTCAACTATGACCCGACCAAACCCGACCCGACCCATTTGCCACCCGTAACTATGACACAGTTGTAACTCGATCACAAACATCTACAATAAGGAAAATGATACAGGCACCTCCCAGGCACACACTCAGTCACACTCACTTTCTTGCTACAGTGCACTGGATCCCACATGAGATTTTTTTAAAAAAATCTCATGTGGAGGCCTAGTGCACTATGGCAAGAGAGGGAGTGTGACTGAGGGTAAGCCTGAGAGTGTCTGTAGCGCTTCTCCTAAAATAAAACCAAACCCTGCCACTTGAAATGACCGGCGGCGATTACGCCTATGTCGACCACATATTTTGCTGACGATGAAGCCATGTCGGCAGCGCTGCCATGATGTCGGTGGAAGCAAGAATTATGATTTGAGGGGATCAATTTTTCCTATGAACACGAGAGACTATAGCTCGTCAATCAAATGGAAAAATCATAGCAAAGAATAATCATCTTGGGTTCATGGGATCGTCGACTTGGTCGTGGAACATGGAATTGTTCAGTCAACATTTGCATAACTCAACTAAATAATAGCTCGGAGTTTAACTGATAGGGATCATGTGTTGAACTCCGGCTTCAACGTGGGGATCCTCATTTCTTACCAATGTTTTCCTTGAATAAAAAAAAGAGAAAAAGATAAAGAAAAGCTAATAATTTTCTTGATCCTTATGGTTTAGTCTAGTTTTCACCCGCCATAATCTTGTTATGCAATCTGATATCATGTGAAAGCGAGAGGGAACCATGCGATCTAATGTAACACAATTTAATGTAATAAAATATATTAAACATTGTATTGTTAATAAATTATACTAGTTATACTATTATATATTACAGATACCTGTGATATATAATATTGTGTTTTATATTTTTATATGTATGTATTTGAGCCTAAAAATGATGGTGCAGAGACCATGGCTTCAAAGCACTCCCTCAATTTCTGGTTTCAGTAACTTTTGAGCTTCAGTGAAGTTTTATGTGACTTAATCCAGAATTCAAGTGCTACTCCAAAATTTAACTTAATAATTTTTCTCCAAAAAACAAAGTTTTTTTAGACATTTGCCACTTAGAATCTTTAACTTAATACAAGGCCTCTATTTTTTTATTTCTGCTACAGTAATTATGTATTTAAATACATTTTTTTGTAAGCGCTACAGTAACATTTTTAAAATGCTACTATAGCCCGTTTGAGCTACAGTAATATGCTACAATAATGTTTTTTATCGCTACAATTTCCGCCTGTGTTACAGTAATAATGATATAGTGGTTTATTGTAGCATGAATAGTGAATATTGGATCCTCCTGTCTATACTACAGTAATAAATGCTACAGTAATTTATTGTAGCATATACTGTGGCATTAATAGTGGATATTGGATCCTTCCATTATTATAGATGAATAGTTTAATTACTCAAATCATTGAAATAGCTTATAGATCCCTCATATCTTAGAGTTCTTCCAATTTGGTCTCTCTAGCCATGTGACGCTAGATTTGAGATTTGAGGGGAATCTTCACTCAAATCTAACTTTTCTATTGGCATTACGGTTATGTCCCTCATTTAAGTTTTAACCAGCTTGTTTCTTAACATATTTGAACTCAAAACTTATAAATAAAAGATGTTAATTGCAAATAGACCCACTATAGTATCATCTAATTGCGAATAGACTATATTTGGTCCTATTTTATGGCAAATAGATCCTATGTAGTATTCGCTCAGATGCGAATATATTCCCTTAGTGAACTTTACCAACTCTTTTAATAGTAAAAAGAGATCAGTAATTGAGGATCTATCCTCACCAATAGAACTACGAGTATCTATCCGCAGCCTCAAACTTTATTTTAACTATTTAAAGAGTAAAAAAAGTTACTCAAGGATCTATTCATAAAAATAAAATAACAGAGAGTCTATTCGCAATTGGGTGATACTACGAGGGTTTCGCCCACAATTGACCGTAAATAAAAAGGCCACGTGCACATATTATGGCCTCATCTAAGAATAAACTTTTCCCCTAACACATCTCGGATTTGGATCCTCTCCACTATAAAAAAGTAGTGGAGGGACCACTACTTTTAATCTTAAGCGTTGATTATTTAATAGGCGGTTATGATACAATCTAAATCTAACACTTACCATACCCCCATGTATTACACTCATTCCTAATTTGCACTAAAAGAAAAAATCATAACCTTCAACTAGATAATCAATGGCTGTGATTATGTAGTGATCCCTTCACTATTTTTTTGTAGTGGAAAGGATCCGAATCCAACACATCTCTCATTGGGGGTTTCTGTTTTTGGTTTTTGATTGGGTTGGATTAAGAAAATAACCCAAACCATAATTTTACTCTTTTAATGTTTAACTGAAGTAACTGAAGAACCCATATGGGACCTACCATCATTTCATTGATTAGAGCCTGTTTGGTTCAATAGAGGGTAGGAATAGGATTAGAAATCCTATTTTATTTATGGATTCCAACCTAATCCATAAAAAATTTATAGACAAGTTTTAGTTTTATGGAATCCTATTTTTTTGTATTCTATATTTGTTTCACCCAAAGGATTAGGAATAGGGTTAGGAATCAGAATAAAAAAGAGGAGAGGTGTCAGAAATTCCACCCAATTCCTAGCAAATAGACTGGATTTGGATTTCTTGAAATATACACTGTTTGAGCCACTTTATAGATTAGCAATTCTATAAATTTTTTTTGAACCAAACTCAGGATTAGGATTCATTTGGAATCCATTAATTACGAAAACGCCATTGTCAGGTCCAAATACTATTCCTATTCCATAAAATTGGTGAAACAAACAGGCCCTAAGGGGCACACGCCCAAGTCCGAAAGATATGAAGGACTAGGATCTAAATATCCAAAGGTCGCTGGTGTAAAGCGAGAAAGGGTTGAGCAGCCGAACCCTAGCCCTTCTCTCTCTCTCTCTCTCACCAAAACCCCCACAACCTTCCAGATCCTTCTTCTCCTTCCGAACCCTCCAGAGCCTCTCTCTCCTTCCGTTACCTCTCTTTATAATCTCTCTCCTCCAAATCCCAATCTCACCAAAAGTTCTCGCCTTTTTTTACCCCAAATCTCAAAAACCCTAACCCTAATGGCGAAATACGGCGAGGGCGACAAGCGCTGGATCGTCGAGGCGACGGCGCCAACGTCCACAACTGGCACTGGGCCGAGCGCGATTGCCTCGAGTGGTCGCGATCTCTCCTCTCCTCTCTCCTCTCAAATCTCTCAATTCTCGACGCTGAATCCGGCGGCGGGCTCAAGATCGCGACCAAAACCCTAGAGAAGCTCGATGGGGAGGCGTATGTTAATGTGAGAAAGGGGAAGGTTATTCCTGGGTATGAGCTCTCGCTGTCGCTGTCGTTTGAGGCAGAGGTTGTGCCGGAGGGGGTGAAGATTGCTGGATCTGTTGAGATCCCTTACATTGCTGATGAGAATGCTGATGAGGATCCCGAGGTTCGGGTTTTGATTCGAGATGATGAGGGGCCAATTGGTACGTAATTTTATCAAATACTGAGATGTTCATATTTTGAAATTTGGCTACAGTTGAATGAATATTTTTGTATTCGTTAAAATCTTTGAATCCGAGTTCGGATACTTAATTTATATCGAATTTTGGATTCAGCAGGAATGTTTTCAAAAGTGTGCTTTATAAATACTGTTTAACTTAAATTAGAATATATTTTATTTCGTTAAAGGACTGCTATCTAAAAAAATTGATTTAAAAAAATAGCATTGGAATTCATAGTTGAAAATTATTATTGTATAAATTGTTTAAGTAATTGGTTAACAAACTAATTTTAGACTCTTTTTAAGTCTTTCCAAATCAGTAGATAATTTCAGTACAAAATATAAGTGGGTTAAAAGCATAAATCATGTGTGTAATAAAACAAGTCTTAAGCTATTAATCTTTAAACAAATACTTGATAAGCAAACAAGCTAATAATCTTTAAACAAATATTTGATAAGCAAACAAGCTGAAAATGTATATATTGTCTAGTTCTATTCCTATAAACCGAATACAGAACTTTTTTGTTTACTGTTAAATGAACTATTAAACCAAACATAATATAACAGTTAGATGAACATTTTTCAAACCATTTGTTAATCATTTGGTTTGTTTCCAACCGTAGGTAGGAGGGTTAAAGACGCCTTCATTGCCAAGGGCAATCCGGTGATTTTGGAGAAGGTTAGGACTTATGTTCAGGCAATGGCAAAGGGTGGTCCTGCGAAGGATGAACTTGAAGTGAAGAAGCCGAAGGCGGAGCTCCTGCAGCGAAATCAGTGGAGAAGAAGAAGAAAGAGAAGGAGAAGGAAGGGTTTAAGACGATAACAGTGACAGAGAAGTTCAGTTGCAGAGCAAAGGATATGTATGAGATTTTAATGGATGAGAATAGATGGAAGGGTTTCACGCAGAGCAATGCGAGGATTAGCAAGGAGGTTGGAGGGCAGTTTACTCTTTTTGATGGGTCGGTGACAGGGATGAATGAGGAGTTGCAGGAGGGGAAGCTTATTGTGCAGAAATGGAGGTTTGCGAGCTGGGCTGATGGAATTCATTCAACTGTAAGTAATTGACTAAGCTACAAAAATGTTTATAATCCTAGACTGGAAGTAGAATGTTGACTTGTTGGGTTAGTTTTGACAACAATGCTATAATGTTGCAGGTAAGAATTGTATTTGATGAACCAGAGGCTGGAGTTACAGTCATAAAACTAACTCAGACGAACGTGCCCGAGGAAGATCGGTAATTTTCTATTTTGATCATAACTCAGAAATGATATGCAATTGTTTGATATGGTTTTTTTAGATTTCAGTACCTGAGATCTTTTACTATTTCAATATATTAGTCCCTCAAATCTCTGATATTGCTATTATGGATCTCAAGACCATAGGTTTGATCAAAATTTCTCTAGGTCTACCCCAAACGTCTCTACAGAAATGGGAAGTGTGGGTTGGATTTTTTTGGTTTAAATACAGTTTAGGATGTTCAGTAATAGAGTGTAGTTGGTTAGAAAAATATATTTAAATTGCAGTTAGAATTAATATTGTATTTAACTTTTTAAGTATAGGTTTAGATAATTAAATTGAGTTAGAGAGAGATAATTCAAATTGCTAATAAAGTTGTTAAGCTTTATGGCATCTCACATTTGAGATAGTAGGTAGCTAGAAGAATTAATTTAGTGTCATTTATAGGATCTGAATGACTAAATTGCAATCTCAAATATTGAGAGAGATTGATTAATACGGTAAATAAACTTTGAGGCTGAGTAGCTAAATACATTAAAGATTTATGGGATCCATGCCCAAAATTTTTTTTGCATTCGTTTTATTTTATTATTAATATTTTGGTATTTTGTTTGTTTTGTTTTGTTTTGTTTGATTTTAATTGTTTGTTGGCATTATTTGTGTAGGTATGGGAACTCAACAGTTGTCGAGAACACAGAGAGGGGTTGGAGAGATCTGATCTTTCAAAGGATACGAGGAGTCTTTGGGTTTGGAATCTAAGCATTTGGCCGTGAAGTTTGAGCTTTTGGTACCTCCCTTTATCTTGTGATTTTTGATGCACAACTGAATTGTAGTGCAATTACTGTTATCTTATTACCTTATGGAAAGCACGAATGTCAAGTATGGTCTCCATGTACTCTTAGTTTGAGATGGAAACTAAATCCCTCATACAGTGGATTCCAGTCTTTTCTTTTGAAATCTATCATGGTTATGTTTTCTTAATTTAGGCGGGGTTTCTTATCATAAAGATTTACCTAAGATTGTGCATGCTACTCAAGTCTTGTTATATCATGGTGATTTTTTAACTGATTATGTGCTTTTAGGTCGATATATAAGTGTGAAAACATTACTAGAATGTGGCAATGCCTTACATAGATATAACTATTGATGCTACTACGAGCTATTACGTACTTGTGTGCATTTCTTTCATAACACAAAGCTCAGAATTTTGACCCTAGTTAGCAGGACCTATGTGGAGTTTGTTTGTTAATATGTAAGCTGATATATTGTTTGTCAAGATTTGATATATTGTTTATCAAGATTTGGGAGCTTTGCGGTGAAGATGAGGTAAGAGTGCTTGGTGTACAGTGTACAGGAGTTCATAGTCAGAACAGTCATAATAATTTAGTGTACGCTATTAAGGATGTATAGACGGTAAATAGATACAAAAAGAAATAAAGCGCGTTACTGATAACGTTTTTTTATTTTATTGCTTTTTCTTCTTCAAGCTTTCCTATTTCTTTCCTTCTTTCTCCCTTCAATTTTCGTGACTGTCTGAGAGTGGGGCACTCTTGTCTTCTGAGCATGCTTTAATGTTTTATATAGTTTGGGGGTCTCTTTGGCTATTATTCTCTTTGGTTTTCATTGTATGTTAAAACATCTGATTGTGCTAATGATTCTAACAGCAACAATCACAAGTACTATGCATTTTTTATTATCACAGTTCATAGATTTTATTTGATCGGCTAAGCTTTCAATTAATTGTGTATTCTAATTTCATTTGATACTTGTTTGAACCTTTTGATTTTGTGTTTGGTAGAATAGTGGATTTAACCCCAACTAGTGATAATAATTTCTTAATACAAGCGTGAAACCTGGGTGGTTTGAATATCATAAACTCTTTTTTTTTTTGAAGAGGATAATGGTTGTTTAGACATTTTCTCCCGACATTACAGCTGTTAGTAATAGTCTCCTGAAGTTTATGATGGTGTGTTATTTTAATGTTTACGATGGTGTTTTTGGCAGTTCTGAAAGTTCATAATGCTAATAAAGTTTCAGTTTTGAAAGCTTGTAACTGATTTGCAAAATCTGTGCGTGTTTGCTTCTTGTTTGAAAGTTCGTTCATGCTCGTACAGTTTTCCTTTTCTTGTGAATAGAACGTGGGGATACTATGAGATTATTTTGTATGAGTTTCCATTGATACATATAAATCTTTCACGTGAACTGATATTATCAGTGAAATTCTCTTTGAGCAATGCTAGCGCACTCGCGGTTGAGCGATTGTTGCTTTACTTGCGGAGGCGTGTCCTTAAAAGTAGCCTCAATTCTGTAAGCTGCATTCTCAAAACTTGTACTCAACCCTCTACCCTGACTTGACACTAGCCAATCACAAGTGTTTTTATTTTATTTTATGACTTCTCTCGAATGGACTTTTTTGCGTCAAGATCCATCAGTAGCCTGGGTGTGTGGTATTGAGGATATTTTGGTATGCCAATCAAGTGAATAATACTGATATGGATAATAATTAGGCGCCAGTAGATTGTGAATATGACATATTTACTTTTGAAGCGTTAGCTTCCCTTGCAATCAAGATGTGTGAGGACCAATAGGTGCGCAAGATTTTGTAGAACGGTAAGTAATCGTAATAATTTAAGATGGCAAGGTGTTTCTTTGGTCGGTTTCTCTCTTTTCTTTTTAAGTTATTACCTTATTTACCTATGCAATATATATATAGAGATTAATGAGTGTCCTTGTCATAGAAGGGGATTTCTTCCTTGACGTCTCTAAAATTACATGATTGAGCAACATTATGGATGATCCGTTCCGTTGAACTTGATCTACATATTCTAAAATCCCAACACACCAAGTTTGGGGTGAACCCGTCGTCGTTTGACCATTCATCCACTCGTATCAATTTTAACGGTTTTGAATGAATAGAACTTTTCACATGGCTCGATGGAGGGTCACTATTGACATTATTAATAATAGTTAAATCAACAATAATAGTGTCACTAAGAGAGTTAAATAGACATTAATTAATGCGTACTAATCAATAATACTGACTTCAATCGTGCTGCACTTAAGGTATAAAATGGGAGAAGGCTAATTTTATTTTTCACTCTTCCCACATTGAAAAAAGGATGGCATTCTCGGGTCCGTTGACCTTTGCCCTTGTTACGCTTTCATATTTGTCAGTATTTTCTCATGGGCCTGTAAAGGCTAGAACAATTGTAAGAGCTGACGTGGTGGCTGTGGGACCCACTGGGAACTACGGTAACGGTGCTTTACTGCTGGAAGGAAAATCTATATGGTCGGGTATTGAAGGCGCAGTTAATGACGTCGGGGTTGCGGACGGTGCTAAATTCGTTGGGGATGGAATCGCGTAGGGCGCTGAATTCGTTGGAAATACCGTGAAGGAGCAGGTGGAGTCGCACATTAACATGTTCAAGTAAATTACATTTCAACTCCAACGTGAGCTCACCAAATCCCACGTAAATTGATAATTTTCTTAAACTGATAGTTGAAATGTCTGATGACCAATCAGCAATAAAGTGTCGATTAAAAAGCGTTTCTAATTAATTAAGGCTCCGTTTGAATACCATGGTGTTTTTATTGTTTCCATGGTGTTTTTGCCCAAAATAAAACTCCATGCGTTTGGAAACCATGGTGTTTTTTTAAGCTAAATCATCCTTAAACAAAAAACACAACACTTATTTCAAAACACATTTTAGATGTTTTAAGTTTGGTGTTTTGGTTTTTGAGTTTGAGAAGATGTTAACATAATATCTAACATAATATAATATGTTAGATATTATACTATACTATATTATAGTTAATTTAATATATTAGTAATATTTATTAAATATTATAAAATATAATAAATAAAATATCTTATATAATAATATAATAACATATTAAATACTAATATTTAATATGTTAATGATGTATTATATAATAAATAAATAATAATAAAATATAAATAACCTAAAAAAAAATAATAAAAAAGTTATTGATAATAAAAAATAATAAATAATAATATAATAATAATATAATAATATACTATACAATAGTATAATTACTATAATATTATTAACTTTTTAATAAATAAATTATAATAAATTAATAATTATAAAATATTATATAGTAGTAACATATTTAATAATAACATAACAATATAATAATATTATTATAATAACATATTGTGTAGTTAATTATATATTAATATATAAAATATTAAATATTATGTAATAAATAATATAATTTATTATAAAGTAAAATAATTTGTAATAATAAAATAATTTATTGCTAACAAATGTTAATGTAAAAATAATATATTCATAATATAATAATATTTATTAATATCATAAATACTAATATATTATTAAAGTACTATTAATAAACTTTAACATATTAAAAACTATAATATATTATATTACATTAAATAATTATAATATATTAAATTATTAATAACATACTAGTAATAACATAATATTAACTTTATTAATAATATTATATTATATGAATAATATTATATTATATTAATAATAGTATAATATTATATTAATAATAAAATAACATTGTTTTAAAAATATTAATATAATATACAATAATAACAAATTGATATACCAAAATAATTAAATATATAATTATTTAAAAATAATATGTAATAATTATAATATAATATAACTCATTAAAATATAATATAATATTATAATACATTATACAATATTATATTACATTACATTTAATACTTATAATACTATAATAATATAAACAGAATATTATAACATTTTATTTATAATATATTTTATTGTAATTAATATATAATATATTAATAATATGTTTAATATTAATGTTATAATGGGTTAAACTAGTGTTGACTAAAAATACTTAACATGGTGTTTTGAAAACATTTTAAGGAAAAAACACAACACCATAATGTTTTTTTATAAAAACACAACAAGAAAAACACCATGATATCCAAACTTAAACTTCTGATGGATAGTTTTTTTTCCTTTTCGCAAACAACAAATCTTCTCTAAAAGGAGTACAACGTCTCGTACCTATATGTGCATAAAAAACCTACACAGTTTTTCGTAGCAATTTCTCCTCTTCATTGAGGATCTCTATAGTTCTAGGATCTCCTTTTTTTTGGAGTACAAGGATGGGATACCATAGAAGTATCCCAGCTAAATATCATTAGAGGTTGTTACATAAAAAGTACATATTCCCAACCTAGAATATGCACTACAGTTCAAAACATACTACATATCAAAGATACCAACATCACGTATTCTATGTATAGTCTAGAGTAACACACTACTCTTACTAGACTAACAAAGAGTTATATGATCTACTATTGTTTTTGTCACCAAAAAAACGAATACCACATAAACTTTTACAATTAGTCTTAATTCCAATCGGATAACCATCCTCGCTGAGATTCTATCTTCATCTCCAGCAGCACCAAACCCAGCATCTTGGATCCTTCCGGCTTCCAGCGATCTTCCTCCTCCTCCTTTCTTGTAGTCTTGTGGCTCGGGCAGATACCTTTTTCGAACCTAGCCAAAAGGTTGAAAAGGTCATAATTTTGTGCAAAAACATAAGAGATCTCCTCCTCTTGTTAGAAAACAATTTATCAATGTGTTCTTGCCAAATACACCAGATGAAAGAGCAGATAATAACATCTCTTTTTAATCTAGAATCCTCATTAATATCAATATTCCAGTTTAGCCACATCTCTTTTAAAAAATCCATTCTGAAATCATCTTCAGTACCTAGTTTGTATTGAATCGATCTCCATATTGAGTAAACAAACTCACATTTAAGGAATAGATGTGTATGACTTTCATCCACCTTAGAACATAAACAACAGATTTTTTCTAAATGGATTCCTTTTTCCTCCAAAATATCTTTTGTATTCAAACCTTGTCTAAGGGCCAGCCAAACTAAAAATTTAACTTTCAAGGGAATAGGAAGCCCCCATATATTTGCACATTCATACCTCAGTCCTCCATCAATAAGAAATTGATAGAAGGATTTAACTGAAAATGTATTCTTTGCCTCCCACAACCATTTTCTCTTA